AACTATTTTTTAATATTATTCTTAATAATATATTAGGAATGCATGATATAATATAAAATGTGTGATTAATTAAAAAATTCGAGACAAATCGAATGGGTACTCTGATATCAGTAAGATATCTGCAAATTATTGTTACGTGCTAAGTCTTAACTGTTAAATGCAACAGAAAAATTAATTTTTTGATAATCTTTCATTTGATGTTGCTAAATATTCAAGTTGAATTTTTTTTTAATCTTGCTGTTATCAGATTTGATTTGTCTCGAATTTTGAGCAAATTTGGTACCCTAAAATTATTATTATTCACACATTTAATCAAGCAACGATAAAAGCGCATGTATTTCATTTTACCTTTAAATATATTTGATTGTAACATGTATATAAAAACTATTATATCCAGTCATTTTTTAGTAAAAAGAAAAGATTTTTTAAAATGGAAGAAGATGTTTTTTTACGCGAATTTTAATATTATATATTGAAAATGATAAGAAGGGTAACAGTCGTTAATCCGCTGCCGAAATCGCTGTTATCGGGAGCAGTCAGGAAGATCGGGGTTTCGTTCTTTTTTGTAGAGAAGCTTCTGATGTTTAATGAATCACTTAACTATTCATTGTGGATCGATTTCGCGAGATCCGAAATAGAAGAAATAAGACAAATTGAAGTCGCTTCCCACTGTTAGGATCGTTCTTCTCTCTGTCAGATATTCTCTCTGTCACTTGGCAGAGGGATTTTGATCTGGTCTAATCGTTCGGCCAGTTATTCTTCATTGAGCGTGGCGATAACGCGATTTTAAGGAACATTAAAGTTTAGCCTGTTTGCAATTGTCCGCGGAACAAGATATATTTTTTATTTTTAATCACAAAATTTACATGAAATTGTATATTTGAAAAGAAATCGAGTATTACATTCTGAATACGCGTTTGGTTTTTTATGTCATATATTATAATTGCAGATTCCTCGTATATTATAATTGCAGATTATATAAAATGCGCCTGTAATGTCGCAATCTTTTTATTATCATATAAAACGATAATAATTATATTGCGTGTGCGCACGTTGTATTCCGATTATAAAAATTATATGTATTGTGATTAAATATTATTATCAATTTATTCATCACATACATTCGTGAAATGTAAATCGCGATTTTTTCTTTAATTTAATCAAAGCTCAATTTATCTTTTCGCGATAATATTGTAGAAAAGAAAACCTTTTACAAATGCATTAAAATTCCGGATACTCTTTCTTAATTGAAAGACATAATCGATAAATTTATTAATGATTCTTTTGGTTGCGATAGATTATCAGCGCTACGCCAATCTAAAAATTTCTAATAAATTTTACATTGTACGTATTTCTGATATTTTCGTGTAATATAATAAACTACTCAATGTATGTAAAATTGTATATATTAACTATTTTATGTATAATGTATTATGAATTATGTATATTTTATTTTATTGTTATTGTTATACATTATACACTTTCAATTTAATTGTATTATTATATATTAAATTAATTTTGTAATTTATATTTTATAACTCTTTATATTATATTTCGAGTTAACATATAGTCAAAATAAAATATTATGTATCAAGTTATACAATTATGGAAATTATAACAAAACTACGTGGAAAAGTTATTTATAACACTCACAAAGAGAGAGAGAGAGAGAGAGAGAGAGAGAGAGAGAGAGAGAGAGAGAGAGAGAGAGAGAGAGAGAGAGAAATGGAAAATATATCTCCATTTTCCGAAAAATGGTTTTATTCTCCAAACTTTCCTTTTTCTTTCTTTCTATATACATAATATTATTGTTAAGTCCAAGCGTATATGTTGATGCTTTCAATATCATTATCCATATATTATTGATAATATTTGAATAAATTCGAATACACATATATTTATTTGATGTTGATAGCACCACCAATTTAGAAATTGTATTATAATTATAATAAATATTTTGTAATATATTTTTATATGACTGCGAGCTATGTAATTATACACTATAATATTTTATAATTATATAATATATATTTTATAAATTCTTTGTATTATATTTTCTATTTGGAAAGTTTGAAAAATCTACACTATTAAAAGAAAATAAAATAAAATTTTACCTCCTCGATTGTATCTCCACCTTAACGAAGGCATTTGCCGGGTGAGGAGGTTTGAGTACTCTAATGAACCTAAGAGCTATGCCGGCGGTAACGTAGGCCAGTATTCATATATAATCTGTTTTTATGTTTAAAATTATCTTAGATTGTATCTTAAAATTTTATTTAGTCAATGAAGTGGTCACAGTATTTTCTTTGACTGAAGACGGCCTTAAATATAAAAACAGACTATGAATATTAGCTGTAGTTATCAGTAGGGTCACCCATGCTGGACAGGTCGAAGGGGAAGAGTCTGACTAAGAGAGATACACAAAAATTACATAAATTATATGTATTATAATAATATACAATAATAATATATAATATATAAATTATATATCATTAATCATATATATAAATTATGTATGTTATATTAATATTTTTGAATAAATTGGAAGCAAAAAGAAATAGTAATCGGAAGAATAGAGAAAAGTCGCTTCAGTAAATTGAACATTTCAGTAAATTGAACATTTTTTAAGAATGCCTGAAGATAAATAACTATGGAAGATATTCCAACAAATATCAAGAAGGAGGAAATGCATGTGTCTATTATCTTAAGAATGCGACAGTATAACAATCGAAAGATTCGAAGAAGAGGATAGCGTTAAGTAAAAATTATATAGTAATAATTAAGAACGAAAAAATAGCTTGCAATTATATAAAATCTGCTAATATTAATTATATTTTATAATTGTTATATTTTACAATTTAGTATTAGGGTATTAAGTATTCAGGTATTAAGTATTCAAATAATTGTTATATTTTACAATTTAGTATTAGGGTATTAAGTATTCAGATATTAAGTATTCAAATATTTTGCTGTTATGGAAACTACAATAAAATAATATAAAACATGTTTGTGTGTTATATAGAGGGGAATATATAATTTCATTAATCTACAGAATACTAATTACGTTCAAAAAGATTAAATAAATTATAAAAGATTGAATTATTATTTTGTGGACATTTAAAATCGTTAATTATTACAGATAACGAAAAGTTCTTGAGGTTATTGAAAGAGAGAGCAAAAGTAAATAAAGAGCAAGCCAGATGACATATAATACATATATCATCAAAAGAGTTTTGAAGTCTTTTACATGATACTTTTTTTACTTAATATTATAATTTTTTGCAAGCATTATCTTATCATAAAAAATAAATTGCAAAAATAAACAGCATTGTATTCGTTTACAATTAATAGAATGTAAATATCCTATAAAGTAAAAACTGAAACTTTTATTTTTTATTTTATTAGTTTAAAATTTTATTTTTATTCAATTTTAATAGAATAATAAGAATTTTACAATTAAATGACATCAAACAGGACATAAATCGGATGTATTTTATTGTTAAATATGTAATAAAAAATTTTTATTATTAGACTAAATTATAAATTATTATTTACGTCGTGTTTAATGTCATTTTAAATCGCAAAAAATCTCACTAATTCTTTAAAATTAAATAAAAATAACTTTTTTAAAATTAAATAAAAATAAAATTTCAAACCAATAAAATAAAAAATAAAGGTTTCAGTTTATATTTTTCAGTTTATATAAACTATTATCAAAATGCTATATCCATAAAAGTTCTACTTACTATTCGCAAAAAATATAGAGTTTCTCACATTATTTGATAAAGTGACTATTTTTAATAAATGTGAATGACTGACAAGCAATAAATTAAACAATATTAAACAATAATATACCTGAAAAAAATTTCATAATTTTATTAGAGTTAAATTGATAAATTAATTTTAAATACACATTATATGTTAATTACATATAATGATTTAGAGACAATGATATATTTCATTTGCGTTACCATTGTTTACAGATTGAACATTTTTTATCAAATTATTTACAACTCTAAATATGTAGCATACGACAAGCCATTTTTAAAATCTATAAAACAAACAACTTATTAAATACTTATATATACCGAACGAAAAGATGAATCGGAATACAATCGTACGATTAATTAATTAAATATATATATATATATATATATATATATATATATATGTATAATATTATATATAAAATATTATATATAATTATCTTCAGAAATATTAAAGAAATTATATAATTATTAACGTTTAAGAAATAACATAACATAACATGTTATATTTTATTTTAAAACTTAAAAATATATGTGTATTAAATCAAATATAATATTAAATCCAAATATTAATGCTATCAATATCAAATTATTATATCGATGTTATTAAGTATTTGAATAAATGGAATATTATTAGCTGATATTGATAGCATCATAAATTTGTAAATTGTAAATTATAAATAGTTATAATTGTAAATAGTTATAATTGTATTTTAATTATAATCTAACATTGATATTTTAATTGTAAAATACAATACAATTATGACTATAATTATATTATATGAAATTATGATTAGTATTTACGATTAGTATTTACGATTGTAAATTCTTATGTAAATTACACGAAAAATTATCGAAAGTATTCACGTTTTCAGTGTCCATAGAGGGAGTATCGCTTTCAGGAATCACCTAAAAGCAGGCCATGACATCTCTCATTCTTCTCTCTGATTGTATGCGTGCGAGCCGCATCCTTTTCCCGACATTACTGTTTATCAGTTTAATTTCTGACAAATTGAATTTAAAATAATTTATTTAATAATCTGGATTCCTTGTTGGGATTCAAAATATTAAACAGATTATTAGAAATTAGATGGATAAATGGGAGAAATAGTTCATTTATTGCGTATTGAAATATTCCTACTACCGAGCGTCGATAATCTATAGAAGTATAATATAAGAATAATATAATATAATAAGAAGAATATATTATAATATCAATATAAGAATAATCTATATAGATATCTTTTAGTCGTCATTTGGACAAGACTAAAAAATCACTCGGATCATGAATTCAGATCATGAGACGACTGTTAGCCATCTTTTCGTCGACTTAACAATGTCAGTAAAAGATGTCTGTGACAAGAAAATGTTTAGTTTTAGTAGTACTTTTAGACGACTTAGTGCTGTGTGGGAAGAAAGTATTAAAACGGCCAGCTGTGGATAAATTTTCGTTAAGATTAAATAGTATACATAATGATAACTTTTATTATGCACTAAATACAACTGATGGTAAAGGTCTGCCTGGTCTGCCAATTGATGATCATCGAATGCCAGGCGATTGCTGATCTCAAGCTTTCCTCTGCTGGTAAGCAATTCTCACGAGTTTTACTTGTCAGTTTAGTTGCTAAATTAGTTTAATATTAATAATAAAATTAATATTGTAAAAATTTTGTAAAAATGTATGCTGCAAAAATATTGGATACATGCTATGCTATTTACGAGCAAAAACCGAATGCTCACTCTCTTTGCATTTAGTAAACAACAAGCGCAATTCGAATTATATCAAGATAAAATTTTTTGAGTGTATAAGAAACTATTTTAAAAATCTAGATATAATATAACTTTTTATCAGAAAATCAAATTTAATAAAATAAAAGTTATAAAAATTTTGGAGCAAAAAGTCATATAAAGAAAAAACTGACAGGAATTGTATAAAATGTATACATAAGATAAAGTGATGTGACATAGCTCGAATTAATCATTGCGAATAATTTTGATTTAATAGGAATAGTGCTTATTTTCAGCATCCTGTAAGATTAGATCAAGAATTGTATTTTCAGCCGCTGCACATCGATGAGGATGAGTCTTCGCTTTGTTACATCATTTTTAATTACTGAAATACAGATTACCTTCGTCGTTTTATCTATTCGATCGAAGGATACGCCTTTTTGAATGAGAAATAACCTCGTGTACTCGAATTCACATTTCTATATAAAGACCGAGAAATGTATTAGATCGAGTTCATTTTTTGATTCGACTTTGTTAGCTGAAGATTATGGAATTCAAGCTAGGATTGATTCTTATGTTCACCCTCGCAAATTGCATAGTAAGTATCCAATCTTTTTTTAATAAAAGTTGCATAAACTTGCAGATTTATTATTAATATTAGATGTAATTTGGTAATCAAATTTAGCAATTAAAACTCTATTAAAATAAAATTTGTTTGCGAAACAAAGCAAGAATAAGATTCCATTTAATTCAAGAGCTATGATATTTAAATAAAAGAAAAATTGAATTTTTTTGCTTCTAAATTTAGAGTATCAGTGTTTTAACATTTTTATTAAAAGAATATTCGATTAAAACTAAGCGAGACTTTATCCCTAATGTTTTTCTTGGATTCGCAAAAGCTTTATAATTTAATAAATATACATGTATATGTATAAATATTATATAGATTATATTTTCATGTAATGTTATATGTATATAATATTATATTTATCAATATATATATATATATATATATATATATATACACATACATATATATATTTATATGTATTCTATATATATATATATATATATATATATATGTATGTATATATATATATATATATATATATATATATTCTCTTAATATATACTAGGCATACGAGAGATATCCGTATGTACGACACAAGGAACGGTTGTTTTACAACCGACGATACAGCTACCAATATCCGCGCTATCAATCAGGCGACGATGAAATTCCCGGTGTAGCTGGGATAGATTATCCGATCTTCCGTCAAGTTCCGTGGACGCGATTCGAATGCGAACAGCAACCACATCCGGGTTATTATGCCGACCCTGAGACTGACTGTCAGGCTTTCCACATCTGTCAACACGGTGGTCGTAAGGATTCGTTCCTTTGTCCGAACGGTACGTTATTCAATCAGGAGAGACTGGTTTGCGCGTGGTGGAACACCGTGGATTGCTCTCGCGCTCAAAGTTTCTACTCCATTAACGAGGCAGTTGCAAAAGCAATGGAGGAAACTGATAGGTGAGCCACGCATTATGTAACGAATTGTTCAAAATACGTACCTACCTATCTACTGTACGTCCACGCGCGGTATTCGCATGCGATTGCATAATCGGACATAATCTTCTTATCTCTCGCGGGTTATGTACGAAAAATGTTGCGGCAATATTTCTTTCAACGTTCTCCTCAACGCTGAATTATTTCATAATAAAATAAGGTGATAAAAGTCGCACGCAGCCCGTTTAATAATAATTTCATTCGTACAGGAAAGTGTGATTAAACTCCTCCGCTTTCAGTTTTCACCGTTGAGTAGTGATATCTAGGAAGATACGATCCGATTGTTATATATAAATATGCGAATATCACACATCCAAATTTATTTAAAATATATATATATATATATATATATATATATATATATATATATATATATTATTTTTTTTGCTACCATAAGGCTTGCTTTAAATACCACGTAATTTGGAAGTTTTATACGCCTTTTATTTGCATTTGATCTACTTTTCCACGCTCTTTTTTCCTACACTATTAGTTTTATTAATCTGCTAATCATTCTTCTATTCTTTCACAATAAAGACGCATCAAAGTAGCTCCTGAAAAGAAGTTTTTCCGAGATTATTATCAGCGTGGCTATAACATTGAAGCTGGATCTTGGAATAAATACAATTGGCAAGGATGGAACAAAAACGACGCATCATTTCGTTACAATCAAAATTGGCATTTTATTGGAAAACCTTTTCACGAAGCACCTGCGAGAAGGATTCTTCCACCTAAATTTTTCCCTAAATTTTTGTCAAACACAAGCACTCGTTATAGCAATTCCTCGCAGAAATTGAATTACACGATCGTCGGTGGTGAATTTGACAAACAAGCGACGAGGAACAACTTTACGACACCAGCTAACGTTTACCTACCTGCATCCTGTAACTAGATAACGTCGTGATAAGAAACGTGTGCTATGTATGTCATATTTAATATTTTAAACATGCGAATTATATTAATAAATAGCATTTTCTAAATTAATTATACAATTTGGATCTGTCACTATTTTTTTGTTATTTTCAAAAAAGCTTTTTTTATCACATAATTATTAATTCAATTTTATCAAAAATTTTACTATTTTACTAATAAAACGATTTGTAGTTTTTGATGTATAACAAAACACAATTAAAAAATTAATTTTTTTTTAAGAAAATTATTATAAAATATGTAAGAAAAGAAAAAGAAAAATGGAAAAGGAAGAAGAGAGTAACAGTAATATGTAATGAAATTGCACAACCGCAAAACTTCAGCAAAATCCTGTTTGAGGATTCTGCTTTCTTCAGGATTTCGCTGCCCCAGTTAACAGACATAATCGTGCTTTACCAAGTCGTGCTCTTTAGTTCGTTCTATCTTTTTAAATAACCAGCTATATGTACAAAACATGATAATGTTTAAAAGTATGTAATTGATTACTAGAAAGAAAGAGAGAGAGAGAGAGAGAATCAAATTTTAATTATAAATTATCTAAAATGTGTTTTCTGAAACAGACTTATTTTGAGGGAAGAGATTGTTATTTTTTTAATCACACTATTAATTATTACGTACACACAAATGCTATGTACAAAATAAAAGTACAATTCAAAAACTTACAATAGTAAATAATTGTAAAATTTCGCAGGAACTCAACGAATTATGAGAATATTAAATGCTTAATAGACTTCTCGTCTTGGATTTCTCCTTGTTTGGCGTTAAATGGATTTCTCCAACACAAGCAATCTATTTAATCCTCTCGTACTTTTGCGGGTATAGATGCGGTCGAGTTACATTTAAGACAACATCGGCTTATAATATCACGATTTATGAACGAAGGAAGGGCTCCCATCATCGATAAACGTGCGATGAATAAACGATGATGCAAGTAGAAGATACGGCTCGTGTTTCTTTACGTCTTTGATATTTCCCGATTTCTGAAAGCAAAAGGGGCAAACGTTTCGCGAGTACTTACTATCGATCTCGATGAGAGATATAAGAGTACGCGATCTTCTAAAATATATATCTGTCCACTACATCGCTTCGGTTGAGAGCTAAGATTAAAACGACTTAACGATCGTTCGCACGAAGGTCGATCGTGATTCACGGATGTAGGCGCATCCCCTTAGTCTTATATTCTCACGGATCCTAACTTGAATGCTTCCTATTCATAGATTTCGAATGATGACGTAGACGTGCAACAGACATGTGTCAATTATGACACATATGCCTATTGCATGAATTCTCCATATTGTGATAATCATACACGTTTCACGATACTCTCGCAAATACGCAATGCACACTGAATAACATCAATCAAAAAGATGGATCTCAACGACCTTGATTGAACATCTCGTTCTTACAGGAAATTGCGCACTAACTGCTTGCCGCGCGATCGGAAAGTAGTTTGAAAAATTTCTCATTAGAGAACAGTGAGAAATATGCAAAAGATGTTTACACTATGCGTATAATAGAACTTATAAAAGCAGTTAACTTAACGTACACCTGCTAAAGACGGTTTGTTAACTACAATTTGCGCAAACTATGAAGCAATAATAGCTTCTAAAGTTATGAAATGCAAAACAAACTAACAATTCCTAAGTAAAGGGGTTTTATTCTTAATTACCATTGTAGAAATTCTGTTTTGATGTTTATCATAATAATCTAGTCGATCAACACAATAAAACATATGCTTTACTAATGGAAACTAATTTTTGTTGGTCTTTTTTTTAATGAAATAATGTTTTTTATTCACAAATAAAATGATATACTAGTATGCTAAAACAATCTTTACGTTTTTAATGATGCGAGTGTTATTTTTATAAGAAAATATAGAAAATAGAAAGAGAACGATGCTATTTTTATTCCTCTTTTACATTTTTTTAAGTACTTATCTTACGTATGGCAGAATTCCTATGAGTATAAATTCATCAATTATCACATACTACAGTTATCTCAATATTCTTCCTTGATTATTATAGAGTTCAGTCAGCAACCAATTATTACTTCAGATAATAAGCTGACAAATATGTATTACCATGATGCGTGCGTATGTGTGTGCATGATCTGTACAATATAAAGTAATTATAAAAAAGGAGGGTACAAGATGACAAGGACAACCTGTCTTTCATTTCAAACGATCACTGATGTGATGCAATTGTTAAGAGAAATAGACGATTACTGATATAATTCAGATCTTTCTGCTTTAGTTGCCCTAATTTTGACAAAGTTTAATGACGATAGGACATTCGAATATAATATTACACGTTTACTGTCTCGAGATTTTCTCACGATTATGTCGTAATTGTAATTCTTTCAAGGATTAATGTGATTGATTTGTTGCAATAAATCGCTTTGAGATTTTGTAACGTCTGCCGGAGATCATTACCCTCCCTTTTTTTTTACTAATGGAAATTATTTATCGATGATACAAAATGACTTAACCGGTTCTTCTCACTTGGGAGAGCTCCAGTTGCGGGTCGTGAGACAATTGTGTCGATGTTATACATAATACAATAAGCGCGCACACATTCCGAGCATGTTTTGCGAGGGAACCAAATGCAGTGCGGAAAGCACGATTGAAGTCTCGCGCGCGTGAGAACAAATTTGATGTAATTATCACAGAGAAGCATCATGCACAGTCTCCGAAGAAGTGTTATATAGAAATTCCACGCTAATTACATTTATAGATTTTCTTTCTGCGTATTTCCCATTATTATAAACCAAATATTAAGGGAAAAACACGTCGTGAGTTTCACATTTTCAATATTAATATGAATAAAAAATTTTTATTAAAGAACATGAATGATAATTAAAATAATATCGCAAAGATTATTTATTTAAATGCAATATATTCTTTAAAAGTTTTTCTTCTTCAGTCCTAAAATTAGATGTCTTACTGAAAAAACTGTAAACATATTATATTATTATACGTATTTTATTTGTGTGCATAAGTGTGAAAATGTAATTTAAAAATTATAATTAATTCATGTGCATAAATATTCATACACTTGCCACAATAAGATCTTATTCGTCATAGCGGCGAGTGGCGAATGGATTGGACACTGCTGCAATAAATTATAATAATGGTAATCAATTTTTTGTTTTATGACATTAAAACTTTTTATATGTCACAAATGTAAAAGAACTCTTAAAATATTCATAAAATATATATATATAGATGAATTCTAATATAACCAATCGCTAGACTTCATTAATGATTAGTTCTAGTGGAATGGATGTGGTTTTGCAATGCGTAAGTGATTATTGCAATCGTATTAAATCGCTGACAGATCTTAGAAAAGACGAGCTAGCTAATACGATTGGATCCTTTCTATATTAAACTCTTGGACCATTGATAAATGTCGCAAGCCTTATTGCTTTGTAAAAATGAAAATAATACCTCTTAACATTCGAACTTTAAGATCTATTTCAATGTACGTTCAAAAAATGCTATGTATATATAACAATAATTTTTTAATTCTAAAGCTAAGTAATCTTAAAGCTCAAGCAGAATAGCAGCTTTTGTTTAATATCATAAGTCTAATCCTAGTGATTAAAAACAGGATTATTACTAAGTAGAGAGTCATTAAATTAATTTCAAAATTTATGACCTGTACATAAAGAATCTCTACAGTTACAAGTACTTGATGATGGTGTAACATTTAATGCAACTAAACTGGTTTTTACAGTACAAGCAAGAAATCGCGGAGTTGAAGGGGCAAGTGGGGATATTCGCCTCGAGGGCTCGCATCTAGAACCCTCGAGGTTTTGTAAACTAAAATTCTATCCCCGTCTGTAAGACACGTTAGCAAATAGCTATATCAAGATGCCATCGTCCGAGGACTCGCTGATTCCGATCACTGCTAACTTGATGTCAACACGTACGTGAATGGCATTATACACGGGGATTAAGAATAAATCAGACCGTATGTTGGGATTACGTAGGATTGCGCGCGCGAGAAACACAATTGATATTGATACTCGCTTTTGTCTCTCTGACGTGTGAGATTCGCGCCGACAATCTTTATGCCGCCCACGCACGATGCAGTAACTCGCGCTCTGCGGTGAAAGCCCCGAAGAGGAAGACATGCGAAGACACATCGTGTCACTATGAACGTTCGATGATGATTACGCGATGATGCAGGCCGATTATGAATCTGAAGTGCCCGATCCTTTGACGGCGATGGAGCGCGCTGCGTCATCTTAGGGGAGGTCATATGAGAGATTAGCCGAATGAAAGTAGGTCTCCTAAAAATTTATCGAGGAGATAATAATAATTGAATCGATCATCGATACATATGTATGCATATATATTCAAGATAATTGCTTTCAATTATTTTATATATTTTTAATAAATAATAAATAATAAATAATAAATTATTATTTAATAAATAATAAATCATAAATAATAAATTATTATTTAATAAATAATAAATTATTATATATATTTTTAATAAATAACATATGCAAATTTTTGTATTAATTTTTTTTTAAAAGATTTGTATATTTATTTTTTAATTAATTTTCTTTTTCTTTCAATCATGTAATAGGAATTCTTGATGCACTTTGAGCAGAGTGCTCTAAATTTGATTTGCTCTTTTCTCTTCCTATTACAAAGTCTAAAAAAATTAGTGCGATCTATTCTATTGCCCTTCTAATGATTCCTTAGAAGATAGCCTCGACATCTCGAATGGAAAACAAAGCAAAAGACTTTTTACGTTGCAAGAGCGTTTGTGATCTTTTCTATGTCGAAGGGTATTATTCTCTACAGTTTTCCGATATCATGTATTATTTATTAGGGAATACATCTTTCTTTGATCAGAAGCAAAAATTCAGAGGAAAAATAATCGTACCTATACAGTTTTACGTATTCAATTACTTTAATTATTTACGAAATGCAATAGAATTTTTAAAGTATCTTTGTATAAATTAATAATAAATGAAAAATAAATACATACAAAAATTTTTCTTTTTTTGTAAGATTTTTATATTTTATTTTACATAATAACTTTTAGCTATCAAAGTTATTAATATACCATATATATTATTTTAAATGATATCATATTATATATTATTATATATTATTTAAAATATAATATGTATATGTATATAATTATTTAAAATATAATATGTATATGTATATAATTTAATTATTTAAAATATAATTAAAAACAAAAAATAATACATATAAATTGTAATTGTTATAATTCGAACACTATATTTTATACTATAATGAAAAAAAATTATTATATTTATTTGTTAATAAAATTCGAGTAAGAATTTTTTTTCATAGTTTACCTTTTATATTTAATGATAATCTTATTTCAAAAAATAAATAAATAATTAAAAATATAACATAAATTTTAATATAATATTGTGTGTGTGATTACATATAAAATAACACTAAAAATGTATAATATTCTATGTTATATTTTAATTTATATTCCCAGATATATAATACATAAATTGATAACCATAGAATTGAGAAAATTGAAGAAATCACGCTCTTAACTTTGTTTTTAAAAATTACATAACATTTATAACGTTTTTTTTTTATAATCTTATCATAAATTTGCATAGAAATATTTCTAAAAAAATAAAAGAGAAAGAGGAAAACATTTTTAATGATACAATTTCTTTCTCTCCCTCCCTCCCTCCCTCCCTCTCTCTCTCTCTCTCTCTCTCTCTCTCTCTCTCTCTTTCTCTTTTCCTACTTCTTATTTGATGTATTTATATTTATCTACTAATGAAAGAGAAGCAAAGTATAAATTCTGGTTGAGCCAGTTAAAATAACCACAAAATTGGCGTGCATCTCTTTTACCTAGGCAAACAAGTGAATCAAGATGCAAAGACATCCTCACGATCTTCTCGATCCTCTTCCTCTACGACGATCCACACCGCTAGCTAGAGCAACGTGAAATACACGGCACTCCAGTAGACGTTACTCTACTTGCAGTATTTCACTTTCACTAACCCCGGCCTCCCACGAGCTGCTCATCTTCGCGAGATCCCCCGTTCAGAACTCCCCCTCTAGAGGAGGCCCCCTTCGGTCCCGCAGCGGGTCACTTACGTCGTGAGGTCGTTCCACGGATAGCGTACTGTTTATGGATTATGATGAGCCCGCGCTAGATCCATCCCCGCTTTTTCAGATCCAACCTGCCAATATTTATTTTAGGTAATCACATACTTCGAAAAGATCACATTCGACATGTTTATTTGAGCATTTTAACATGGTTCGTACTTTAGTCTAAATTATATAATTATAAATTATATAATTATAATATTTAATTATTATTTATTAATTATTATTAATTATTATTAGAATGTTAGATACACAGAATTTATAAAATATTCATAAGAATTTTTAATAAGATGTAAAATATTTATAAGAATTATTAATAATGACAAGAGAGAGAGAGATGTCGTATCTTTAAATTCTTCTTTTATTAATCCATAAATTGATCGAGCAAATTCTGCATTATAATATAATAACGAGAAATTATGTGATACACTTCTCTTAAAATTTGATGGAAAAGGTCAAAGAGTACGGAAGCAGCGTCCTCGTCTCTCCTACGATTTCCAGAAGTACAGATGACTGCGCGAAAGGATCAATCTCATCGTCATTCGCGGTTTCGCGTGGTTCCCCACCTCGTATCCCGAGGAACAGAGAAAAAAAAGGGGGCTCGATCTGGAGGAGGTCGAAGGATGAGCGCCAGAGCATCCCTGGTGGGGGCGTATCAGCACTCGGGGTGCTATCCAAGGATATATATACCGACGAAGTTACTTCCACCATCAGTCACTGTCTCGACTTACCTCAGCACTGCGGTGTGTTTTGTACGTACGGATCGGTTGGGTGAGTCTGCACGACACCATTTCATCCCCTTAAGACATGACGATCGCGTTTTTGTCTGTTGTCCCGATTTCGCGAGTTCTTGCGCGTCTGTCGCACAAATTGGATCCTTTTTCGGATCCGAGCCAGTGTTCACTTCGAGTACTCCGAGTTCGGTATCACATTTTTCCTATCTCATGCATCTTTGTACGCGTACTTCAACGTGGCACCGATAACACGCACGAATGACCCGACGAAGGTTCCGAATCTCCATGTACGAGGGAGATCGGAAAAGGAACGATCGTAATGTATTAAAGTAGCACGGTCAGTGATTTCCATTTGAGCGTATCTTTTAAAGTTCTATCTTCTTTCTTGTAAACGTATTTAATAAATCAACCCCTGAATACCGTATACAGAATACAGAAACAGACGACGTGAGTTATAGTAGCGGAAAACATAAATACTTCCGACAGTCGATATACGAAAAATTCAAAAACATGAAAAGCATGAAGAATGATCAAAAGTTTTGCTTTTAATACTATTGTGATAATATTGTTATATTAAATTTACATTGATTGGAATCGAAATTTCTCTCTTTCTTTCTCTCTACATCATTTGCATACAATTTCCGTATTTTATGCATATAAAAAATGTACACTTATAAATTTTAATTCTTTAAATTTTTTCGCTTTCTTTTTTTATTTTGATATTTATTTAATTTTTATATAAAAGACTTGAATAATTTGACAAGTAATACGAAAGTACTAAGATTTAATGCTATTACTTTTTATTATATTATTGATTTTATATATAGTGATATTAAAAATCACTTTATGGTGATTTTTGGCAGAGAGAAATATTACGTATATGAAATAAATTATATTTCTGATCAAGATGTATCTCAAAACAAAATTTACTTGTTGCATAGACATATGTATGTACATATTTTAAAATTATTGCGGGCGCTTAAATATAATTATATTTATTTTTCTCAACATTTTCGTATATTAGCCAGATATAGAATAAATTAATCGATTGCATCTTTCAGATTCGCCCACTCGAGGGTGCTTGCGCCAGCAAACATGCGGCTACGCTTGTTCTGGATCGGTAAGATCAAATTGATATTGATTGAGATATTGAATTCGACTTAATTACACAGTTTCATCTCATCATATAATCACTTCATATAATTATCTCATGCAATAGGCGAGTTGTTACGTTAGCATATGACCGAATAAGCACATGAGACGAGCTAACAAAAAGCGACGCAAGAACTTACGGCGGCAATATCCGTCAGTTTTTCTCTGGAGAAAACAGAAAGATTAGCAGAGATTGCAGTGTCGAGAATAGAGAAAAGAAAGTTCGTAATTTGTGACGTGTCCCAACGTCAAGTATAACCTTCGTCTCGATAATCGAAGGAGATGAAAAGTTTCCAAGCAATTGTTAAGCAATCCTATACTAACTTTACCTTCTGTTCATCGAATTATCGTGCCGTATAAGCTCTCATACACACTATTATACGACACGCAATCAGTATGGCATTCTTTGACAATGCTTGGATATTGTCTTCGCGACTGTAAATCATTAGAGAAAAATGTGGAAAAACAGAAAATGTACATGTACGAACGATTATCGCGAATGTGACAATATGAAAATAAGTTTACATGTTATACCAATTATGTTATTTTACATACTCTGATAATAAATAAAGAACAGAGATTATATTCTTCTGTTTATAAAACAGACATTTAATTTTCGTATAAATTAAAAATAATATTTATTTTTTATTAAACTTTTCATACATAATTTTAAATTATTTTTTCTAAAAATGAAGAAATAGATAGATTGTTAATATTGTTTTAATAATAACTCGTAAATGATAAACAAGAATATGTCAGGAAATTTCCATCAATTAAATATAGCTTTTAACGAAGTTTTATTTCAAAAACAATTGCTTTGACGAATAATATTTATCGGACTGGAAATGCGATTCTCATAATTCATAATACTTTCAACGTTTCGGTTTCGACCACGGTGTTACGGTCCAGACGAGTTTTAAATTTCGATAGTACCTTCGCAAAGACTACAGCATTTTTTCGTAACATCCTCTAATTAAAACGAATTAGAGATAAGCCAACGCGCTGCTGACTGGTATTGTTCCAGCGCACTTTTACGTATTACGGGGTCACCCTTTACGGTTACGATCCTCACTTAAAATAAAGGTCAAGTGTATGCAGCGTACCGTGTTAATGCAATTGCTATCGCCTTCTCTTTTCTTAACAATCTTAAAAATGAACAGCGCTAAAGATGAAGAAAGCAAATATTCGAAAAGTCGAAACCAAAAGACAAATTTAAAACTATAAGACAAACTTTTTTTCTTTAATTTTTTAAAGATAAATGATAAATATCGTTATCAAGAAATTTTTAATTTCATATAGCTCATATTACTTTTATATATATCACATTAATCCATAAGAATTGACATCTTCTGAAAAAAAATAAAGTAGAAACTTTAACTTACACTGTTGTTTAACAATAAGAACAATATTTTTCTTATCAAAAAGTTAGATAAGAAAAATTCGTGATGCTAGGAATAGTCAAGGGAGGATTAAGCTATTTCCGCCGTAGAGTTCCCTTCGGGCAGATTACGTCAATACTCTGACGCGATCGTGCAACGCTAGTGTAACCACGTAACGGTCAAAGATCCTCTCAAACGATGCATCGAGTACCGTGCTCGGATTATCTTCGTAGATCACGCGAGGTTCGGACTGCATCTTGATCTCCGCCCCATTGTTTCGAGGTAACCAAAACCGAAGCTATCAACCGGCAACAGGAAGATGTACGAATAACGGTACGGCAATATTGTTGCTTGAAATAGCCTTTTGCTCAAATTATGCACATAAAAATTAATGACGAATGAAGGTAGAGGAAAAATATCTATATAAGATCATTCATAATGAAATATAGAAACGAAAGATTTTTATGTTTTTATTTTTTTTTAATTTGACAGTTGATAGCTATGTGAGTCAAAGAAAAAAGACTTGCAAAACGAAATTTATGTTTTTACAATTAATTCTAGAAAAAACTTTTATTGACAATTTTTTAAAGGCTAAAATAAAAATTACAGGGAGATTTATGAATGAAAAATGATCAATGTAATCATAAATTATATTTTATTACAATAATTATTTTCGCCAGAAATTTAATTTATTTTACAATAATTGTATCACATATATTTCATTATTCAAACAATTAATCACAAAAATTCACACAGTTCAATATATTTAAATTAATAGGTTATTGAATACGGAAATAAAGGCATTTCGCACGCGATACGAAACGATATTTTAGATTACTCATAATTCGATATGACAGTAATATTATTTGAGCTATGGAGGTCATGTCAATCGTATTTGCTAAGTTACATCAGTCTACGTCGAAGTAAAATCCCCATTATATCTTAATTTATCAACGTCAAGTTGGCTCGGGAGATATTCATTTAATAATTATAGTTATTTATTATGAACGATATTCATCTCGCGATAACAGAAAAATCTAATCAAGATATTTATAATTCACTTTACTATTTCCTTGCATATTTCACATCATTCATCGAAGTTATTTTCAATAATTACATCCTAGTACATGTTATAAGAGATTAAGCGATATAAAGCACGTCTTATTTTATAATTCATAACCAGGATTTACTTGAAAAGCAAAAAATATCCAAGGTAAAATGTATTCAAGAATAAACCTTTCTTCCTTGTCATACTTTTAATACAATCGATTTGATTATTTTTTATAGAGAATATATAAACTTCTAAACTTTTATAGAGCTTGAGATTGTAATCTGGGTCTCTTTGTATGGCCAGACTTTTGTATCTTCTTAACAAATAGCTTGCGTGATCCGCGGACCAGCAATGACGGTATCATTGCGAAAATGGGAGTCTCTACAATCTCGTAGAACATACGCACTTCTAAAGCCCGTGTTGCTCGTTTCTCTCTTTTTCTCTTTCTTTCTCTTGCGCGATTCTTCTCTTTGCGTTTGTCTCTCTTCATTTATGCTTTTTGATACGATTTACGTACCGCCAAGCGTGCGAAGAACTCACCTTCTTCGCGCCTACACTCTAAGCGCGCCCGACAATGCTCCTTAATTAATTAGACGGGAAGTTATGTCAGAGATTTTTCAAGACATTTCTCTTCTGTGGGACTCGCACGCAACCTCTTCACTGCGACGAAATTGCAGCAGTTACCAGCGTCGACAGCCTTTAACGCTCGAGATAATTGACGTCATAATAAAGATTCTTTCCATGATGGATTTACAATGAGTTGTAATATATGTAACTGTGTCAAATAAAACCCATGCAATTTGTCAAAGCGCATGCCCGAAAATAATGGTGTCTTGTATTTGTTTCAGTCTTGCTGGCTGTCGCTCGTTCAGCTCTGGTAAGTTGCTTCCGTTCTTAAATAGATGTTATTTAGAAACTTAAAATAAAAGCACTTTTCTCAGGTTAAAAAAGTTTGTAATTTTGTAGAGTTAATTAATTTAATCTACATGAATTCAAGCTGTTTTCTTTTTATTTTGTACATATGTTTTTTCATTATTCTTGAAAAAGTGACGCACTCAAATTCATATAAATCGTATAATTCATATAATTCGTATAAATTATATATCAAACATATTTTAATTTTCCGCGATCGACATATCTCATTCCTTTTTTTCCCACGAAATAACATAACATTTACGTTGCGCAAGTTTAAGCATTCTGACATTAATCGGTCGTGACTGTATTATTTCAACTTTACAATGATCACAATAATCGAGAATACAAAGACTCCTTTGGATCTTTTTACGAGCACGATTCTAACTCGAGAGATGTCAGAATCTATAAATCTGATATACTTAATCGTTCAAGGGTATCGTGATCTTAGCAGACGAATAAACCGTTATTTGATATTAAAATATAATATATAATATATATATATACACAAATCAGAGAACAGTATACTTAATAAAATATTTTTTATAATATTAATCAAATAATATATCAATTAAATTTAGTTAAAATATTATTTAACATATATAACTTTAACATATATAATTATGTCATGCAATTAAAGTACAACATTAAAGTACTTTTTCTTTTAATAATATATAAACTGTATTATTAACTTTCTATTAAAATAAAATTTATTTAAATGTATAAACGATGTGATTTTTTTTCTATTTGCACTTTTTAGATGTAATTGATTAATTAGCTACATGTTATAATTTTTTTATTTTATAAAAAGCTTTGTAATTATAATTACTTATAATATTTCTATTTTACAATTATTTATATGTTTCTTTTCAAAAGGTAACTAACAAAAAAATTTTTTTTAATATTTTATTTTTATTTCTTATTACCTCTTTCTTTGATTTAAAATATATCTGCTATGTTTATCATTATAGGCTGATGAGGGATATAATTATCCCAGACCAACAAATGGACTTGTGCCAGGTGGTCCAGGAGGAGGTCCTGGCACTAAGCCAGGAGGGGGATTTCCAGGAATGCCCGGTAGATACCCATCTGGCCCTGGAGGACCTGGAGGACCTGGAGAACCAGGAAGACCGAATGGTTATCCATCAGGTCCGTCAGGATTTCCAAGTACACAACCAGGTGGGCAACCAGGTGGGCAACCTGGATTTCCATCTGGTCAAGGCCCTTCCGGTGGATACCCTAGTGGACGACCTTCCATCCCATTTCCGAGCGGTGAACCAACAGGCAGACCTAGTCCAGGAACAGGCCCAGGTGGGTATCCATCTGGACCAGGTACACCAACGGGACCCGGTGCACCAGGAGGATTTCCAACAGGGCCAAGCACTGGATATCCTGGTGGCAGGCCTAATGGGCAAGCACCAGGCGGTTTTCCAGGTGGGCAAAGACCTTCTGGATATCCGAGTAACGGACAACCAGAAACTCCAGGCTATCCTAGTGCACGACCGGGCGGGCAAGGACCAGGCGGAAGATATCCCGAACAGATTCCTGGAGGCTATCCCGGTGGAATGCAGAAGCCTGGTGGCCCAGAAGGTGGATATCCTAGTGGAAGACCAAGCGGTGGCTATCCAGGAGGTGCTCAGAGACCTAGCGGTGGTCCAGGTCCTCAGGGACCAGGTGGATATCCAGGACCGAGTGGCCCTGGAGGTCCAGGTGGACCATCTACCGGCGGTTACCCTAGTACTAAACCAGGAGGACAGAGACCAGAAGGCTATCCGAGTGGCCCAAGTCCACCTGGCCCAACACCGGGCGGTTATCCTGGTGCTCCAGGACCACAAGGTCCGGGACCGCAAGGACCAGGAGGATTTCCAAGTGGGCCAGGATCTCAAGAACCAGGAGGATTTCCAGGTGGACCAGGTCCGCAAAGACCAGGAGGATTTCCGAGTGGACCAACTGCTGGCCAACCTGGAGGACCTGGGGAATATGGCCATGGTGATGAAGGAACATATGATGAAGGTGATTACTCAGCTATTCCAGGCGAGCCTGGTCGCGATTATCCTATATATAGTGAAATTCCGGAAACCAGTTTTCGTTGCGATGCGCAACAATTTCCTGGTTATTACGCTGATGTGGAAGCTCAGTGCCAAGTTTTTCACATATGTGCCAATAATAAAACCTACGACTTTCTTTGTCCGAACGGAACAATTTTCCATCAACAATACTTTGTCTGTGTATGGTGGAATCAATTTGATTGTAACTCCGCGCCAAGTTTTTATAATTTAAATGAAAACATTTACGATCATACTATTATGGGAACACCTGGTCAAAGACCCGGCATTGAAGGACCTTCAGGACCTCCTGGACCTGGTACATATCCAGGAGGTCCAGGTGCTCCTCCTGGTGCTCCAAGTGGCCCGGGTTATCCGGGAGGACCGCAACGTCCTGGTGGTGGTCCTGGAGGTTATCCTGGAGAACCTCAAGGTCCATCGAGACCAGGCGAATATCCAGGAGAACCTCAAGGCCCATCAAAACCAGGCGGATATCCGGGAAGACCTCAAGGTCCATCAGGACCAGGTACATATCCGGGAGGACCTTCAGGTCCATCGGGACCAGGTACATATCCAGGAGGACCTTCAGGTCCATCGGGACCAGGTACATATCCAGGAGGACCTTCAGGTCCGTCAGGACCAACTGGACCAGGTTATCCAAGTGGGCCAATGGGTCCAGGAGGTCCAAGCGGTTTTCCAGGAAGACCGGGAGGACCTCAAGGTCCATCTGGTCGTCCAGGACCCGGATATTTAACTCCACCGGTAGGACCATCAGGACCTCAAGGCTCTCAAGAACCAGGATATCCTGGTGGAAGACCTCAGGGACCTTCTGGACCTTCAGGAAGACCACAGGGACCTAGTCCCAGTTATCCAGGACCAAGTGGACCATCTCCAGGATATCCAAGTGGCCAGCCTCAAGGACCTCCTGGACCGCCGAGCTACCCAGGTCCAGGAACACCGAGTGGTCGTCCACAAGGACCTAGTGGACCAGGAGGATATCCTAGTGGTAGACCGAGCGGTCCATCGTTTCCAAGTGGACCAAGCGGACCTACTGGGCCAGGGACGAGTCCATTCCCGCCACAAGGTCCCCCGAAGCCAGATCGTGAGTACTTGCCGCCACGGATTGGATAATCGAAACTAAACTTCCAGCCGATATCTAACGACGATTCCCACCGTTGTTAATGCTGGATGAGATGTGTAAATATGCGTACAGTTTTACTTGCGTAATTTAGGTATCGATTATTCGTATTGCATCCATTTTAATATATAGCGAATTCTGCTTTTGTGTTTACTTATCCTAAGGTTTCCATCTATTCAATTAAAAGTTTATATTGTTTGTTCCCAATGTTATTAGTAAAAAATATTTATTTTACTAGCAACTATACAAAATTTAAGCATCTTTATATAGTTATTAAATAGAGCGTGCAAAAATAAATATATAAAAATGCTTATAAAATTGTATCTTTATAAGTTTAGAAAAATTTAACTTTAGTATATGATACTTTCCAATATATTATTTACATGGTTCAATTTGTTTATTATTATTCAGAATAAATACAATAGCACATGTCGCGATTGGTGCAAAAAATACTTTAAACTTTAATATTACATTGCATTAACAAGAAGTATTAATGGAAACCTTATGGTAAAATTATGAATAATATTATATATGCTGAATGTATTTGCCGTTGTCCAATCAAATCTTATTAATTGTGACTAAAAATATTAATTTTTATTTATTCTTTTCTTAATTATTAATTTCTAGTACAATTATTAATAGTATCATTATTATATTGCAAGAGACTTTATCAATCAACTTATATCAAAATTAATAAAAGGACACTAACGTTGAATACATGCAGTTTTTTTGTAAGTATTATAACACATATTTATTTATTCAGCTTTAATAAAAATATGAATGTTATAACTTTTACGATCTTACTATCAAAAGAGCTTGAACCTGGCGTTATACAGATGTCATGGATATTCTGAAAGAGATTTCATACGAAACATAAGAATTTATTAAATGTAATCAAACACATGAGATCAAATGTATAGCTTCATACTTTATAAGGCAATTATGTCTTACACGAAGTGTCATAATAACACAATTTTAATACAATTACAAATATATTTATCTTTATACATATCTAAAACACAAATTTATATAGGCAAAGATTTAAAATGCCTAAGAACCGAAAACAAAGTACTTATTGCGTAAAGAAAAACAAAATTAAACATAAAATTATACAGTTAATAATATATTTAAGGTATATATTAATATAATGATGTTTTAATATTTTACAAAATTATTGATTATAAAACGTATAAATTACACTTGATTTATTTTGTTACTGTAATTTGAGCTGCAAGTACATATTATATTTGTAGGATTATAAGCAGTACATATAACGAATAATACTTTTAATAATATTCTTAATGAATAATTTATAAACGGCTTATAATATATTTAAATGCAATAAATATATATATTTTTTATGAAAATATCATATAAGAAATCTCAAGATTGAGTATCTTAAAGCGGAAGCACAATATTAGACACAATATTACAAGTAAATTATGGCAAAAATTTAATAATCTTTCTCTTTCGAATTCTTATCAATTATAAAAAAATGTGTTACAATTATTCTTCAATAATTGTTCGATAAAATAATATGTATTTTAAAACTATACATTATTAATTAATTAATCTAAATATAATGAAGCGGTAAAGGTCTGACCCTTTTTGAGAAAAAAGCATATCATTGTCATATATGATTAAGCATCGCATGACATAATAAATATATATATACATATATATCTATATTTTTTTAACAATGGTTTGAGACTCCTACGTGGGATGCCATTATGTATATTTTATGCGCGAAATAAAGGAAACGTCTTTGCAAGAATTATGTTGTCTCTATTCAGTATAGGTCCCGCGGGTTACTGAAACCCGCACAAGACGAGTAACACACGCGTTACTACATATTGCCTTTCCCTTTCCCCTCATTACTATAATTAGTCATCTCAAATTGTTCGCTCGTCGGGGGAGGATTACATAAATTCGTATACGCGGCCTACGTGCGATCACCGTTTCGCGATTTATAGTTGCGTGTATTTCATAATAAGGCGAGACTTTTGTTTTCTGACGGGCCGAGTCATTCGACGGGCAAATGATTTTGCGGATTCCCAAGGTAGTGACGTTACATTAGATAAACGTTGCGAGAACTATACTCTGCGGTTCGTTCACGCGTCTTAAATTGTCTGACATAGGTAACTGGGTCGTATGAAATGCCTCATCCTGCTATTCACATCGTTCTCGTTGGATTGTTTCAACGCTACGTGACGCGTCGAGAGGGGGGAAAATGATACTTAATCATCGCGCGCGGGTGTCAGGTGCGAATGAAAATAGTAGATGCGTAAAATGTATTGCGTGTCGTGTAATATCGGTATATCTTCGAAATAGCACAATGACTCTACTGGTCTTAGTATTATCGCGCGTACAATCAAGCGCCCGCTATTGTAGTTTGTAATGAAAGGAGTTATACGCAGGACCAATTAAACTTTGGTCTGGAATACGTGCCTTGCGGCAAGATAACAAAGGTCAATGGCTAATTAACAACGCGCGCAAATTAGAAACGTAATTTGTGGGCATTGCTGCGTCGGAAACGTACTGCACATGCAGCAAGTCCACATTACAAACAATTCGATAACGAAAACTACAAATCATAAACTCTCGAATCGTCGCTAGATATATCGCAGACTTTAACATCAATCGACTTAAACGATCAATTTAATATATAAATAATATATAAATACTAAAATTAATACTAAAATTTAATACTATATTAATACTAAAATTTAATACTAATTAAACGAGCTGTTTTATTGTTATGAAGGTAACTGTTTTTGCAGTTGGCAAAAGAAAGATAAAAGACCAAATTTATTTATAATTAAATATTAATTGAAAGGAGCATTCAGTAATTATTAATGTTATATAATTATTAATATGGGAGTACACGCTTCTCCACATCAAATATTCTGTAACTAAAATTAAACTCACGAAACTTTAAGAAAATCTATCATCGACCCATTTCCTGATAATGTGCCAAGTAAATCTTCTTCTCGTTGCATTAGGGAGTAATCAAAGTATTACAAGATAACAGCACGATGCAGATTGAAAATGTATAACGTAATATATTATGAATCACTTTGTGAATACATAATAGGTAAATCGCGGATTATGTTTCGTCAGCGCGTTACGACGAAGGTCCCGCGGATGTATGTCTCGCGCTTACATATTTGGTGCAACGGCAAAGCGGACGATCGTGCGAAAAATGTGGAAATTAATGAGAAGGCGCCGCGCTCGCTCTCACCTGGAAATTACCGGTCCGTGACGCAAGGCAACCTTGGATGGCACGCGGACCGTCCTGCTCGAAAAGTAGACCATTCGAACGGCGATAGTGACGGATCACCTGTTAACAGATCTGACTTACGACTTGACCTTTCGCAGTGGAACCGATTCCTTTATAGACACGTAGCGTTGACTATTTTCGTTACGGGAAAGTATGGATATGTGTATATAAATGTATCCCATCTACTATCGTCTCTTTCTTAACCATCATTACCGTATGTGTAGTTAATTGGCGTACGTAATGAAACTCTCCTATGCATAATGGGAATAACTGACGAATCAGGAGAATTCTATTCAAAGATGATTATATTAGATGGAGAAGATTTCAGACGCAATTTACGTGATACTTTTACAATTTGATTTTTAGTTTAAAGATATATTATATAGTTTCATATATAAATTGATTACATAAAAATAAGCAAAATATATGTATGAAATATTTTGATGAAAATAGAAAATTCCGTATATTAAAATAATTTAAATGGAAATCATTTTTATTTTTACAATGATAAATGTATATAAATAATACAATAGGAAAATAAATATTCTTGTTAACTTTGTCAAGAAGAGAATTTAAAAGAGGATAGCGCTGCGTGCGAGTAATTGTCGAGCTTAAAGTGAAAAATATTAGCGTGTAATTGTGCAGTGTGACGCACGTTAATGGTAAATTGTACTTTTAGGAATTAATATTCTCCTCTTGCATAATAACCGCATGCACACTCAAAACGTAATCTTTTTTGCAATTTGCTCGCCGCCTCGGGACATACGCGTATACCTTATACAGGGTATCGCTCGATGGGGCACGCCGACGCGGCGATGACGAAATTTGTCAGCTCTTCAACTACCGAGATGCATTATTGCATCTCTGTGATACGATAGGGACGATGAAACCTGCTGTCACGAGAAATAGGACGAAAAACAGCAGCAGATGGCATAGCCAATATTGCAAGGGGATTTATGCAATTTCTGTAGATTGTAAATTGCACAAATGACCATGTATTACGATGGGATGTTCGGCAATTCACTTTAAGGCAATGAATTTTGCATCTGTAAATTTTTCAAATCAGAAAAAGCATTTGCCTCATGGCGCTGCTACAAGATCGATGCTCTTTGGACTTTTGAATTTACATGATAAATAAAATTATACGCGTCATACGAAGTATCTTTCTACGAACTGCCCAATCATCGTGCATAATGATACGTATGCCTTTTCAATACAAATGTTTTAACAAAGTTGAAAAGTCTCTTTAAAATATAACACTTTTGTATTATATAGAAATTTAAAAAAATTTTTTTTAGAAGAAAATATTTTTTATGCTACGAAAATTCTGTTGCAAATGACGATTCAGCGTAGAATTAATTTAATGAGATAATGTGTTGGTATATAAATGTAAAACAATTGTCCTGGTATTTCAATCGGAAATTTTATGACGGTAGGTAGTAATTATGATGAAGCACGATCAGAAAAGGCCAAACGGGTTTCAATCAGTGCGTGCCACGCCAAACGTCACGGAACCGGTTCGCGGGGTCAATAACCGTCATTGTCAGGGTCGATCGCGGCACATTAGTACGCAATGGACGCGTTGTCGAGACCTATAATTTGACTTCCGCGAACAATGCGACACACTGTCATACATACCGCAACAAAGGTCTGTATAATATGCAGAGCTTATTACAAATAAGCTAAGTGGTCTTTGAAGAAACGATCGAGTTACGAAGAATGATCGGGAAGAAGATGACTTGGTTTAAGTTGAATAATAACGGAGATTGAGCAAAATGTTACTTGTACCTTTCGGCGTCGGTCAGTCGCTCGACGTGCGGTCCGAATTAACCAGTGATTTGATTCACACTTTAATCGTGTTTCCTAACTCGGGTCACGACCTGAGAATAAGAGGCTTGATACAGAAATAAGAAAAGTATCGCATTTATAAGCACGTTTTAATATTAAAAATAATCATTGATCAATATATTGCATAAAAACATAAATATACGATGACATG